TAGTATCTCTGATGCTTAGACAAAATATGCGTTTCCTTTCATCAAAAATTGTAACCATCCTACAAATACGCAAGCCTTAGCTGCAACGTGGGGCAGATCGGTCGCAGCGATTTCGATGCCGGCGATGACCTCTTGGAGGACCGCTAGGCTTGCAAATGCCAATTTTTGGAACGGCGGCAGTGTAGGGAGGTGGAGGCTCATTCACCTCCATAGGTGGCTGGTGTGACACTGCAGGGTGCGATCTGCGGTCATCAGGTGGTTCACTACGGCGGTTGCTGCTCTTACTTCGACCATGACGCTGCCGCCTGACATCGCCATTCTAGAAACAATTGCAACAAGATGAAACTATTTGTAAAACCAGTACTAAAACAGTGAGTAGCAATACTTGACCAGTCAATATCTGACTGCAAACTCAATTAAGCCTATCGCTGATTGTAAAAAAGCGACGATTGTCAAACACTGTACAGTGAAATTTTTCTGACCAATTCCTACGCATATCTGATTTTTATGAGAGAATTCTGTAGACTTTAAATAATTGCATTTCAACTTGTATTTACCCACTATCACAAACACCTACCAACGATGCACGCAGTTTTTGCCTGCATGCTTTTCAGTATGGTCACACTGACAAGGGCTCGATCTAAAAGTTCAGTAGATATAAACATAGATCGTAAAAGCCCATCCTGAGAGAAGTGCAGAAACTGACAATAGACATGAAAAAGACCATGACAGAAACAGCCCTAAGCGCGATGAGTAACTATTCCTAGCCCTGTCAAAGATTGTTACACTGCATTCATTCAACGGCATTTTTTGATACCCCTTGAAGGAATTTGGAATCATTTAATGATAAATTAAAGTAAATACTGGCATACAACCTAACCAAGGTTAGGGAACCCAACACGACTTTCTTATGCCTTGGCGAAGGATTAGCAAAATACTACTATCATGACTATCTTTCCACGTAGACGCGGTATGGAAAGTCTGCTTAACACCAAAAGTGAGAATTATAAGCAGAAAGCAGGCAACGTGAATAATGCCAAGTTACCGGATTTCTGCTGTGATAATGGTCCATTCGCCACTTTCATTATTTTTATTATGGGCTACATTCTGTGCTAACTTTTAGTCAGCTATCATGTGGTTCAAAAGCAACTGCAGTCGTAAGGTGCAATCATCAGACATAATCACGGCAGGTCTCACAAACTCTGACATGGCCACACAAAAACGTTGCTCTATGTCGACTGCTTGCAGACTTGATTCGATACCGGTTTCTGACCTGAACGCACGGAAGCACAATGGAGCGAATCCTTCGCAAAGGAAATGAAGTTAGTAAAAATTTAAACCGAACAATTATGGCTCGAACCAGCACCTCAGAAAGCAAAATCGAATTACTACAATCTGCACCACTACTCCTAAAACTGATGAACACCCTCTTACAGCACCGTGGGTTTGCGAGAGCAGAGAGTATGGGAATGCTAAGTTAATTGATCAACATAGTTACCATTAGATCAGAACTTATGATGGCATCACATGTTCAGAGAAAACGAAGGGCAGAGCTGTCGACCGGACACAAGGGATTGTGTGAAAACTGCGCCATGCAAAAGCCGTATACGGAAATTTGTCTACTGAGTATAGCAAAAGGTCTTGAAAAAAACAGCTTAATGATGTAGTGATAGAAGAGATCATCCGAATCACAGGCAAGATTCGCGTACAGAAATGGAATGGGAGCGGGATGAAACAGATACAGGCTGCCACATAATTGGGCTGAAACACCTTGATATTATGACTAACGGTAGGAAAGAACTTACTGGATTAACAACGTCAGGGCAAAGAAGGAAGCTTATTTTACAAGGTTCACAGCACCTGCCAAGAATGCGATCCTCCCGCACAGCGTCTAAGAGGCCTGTTGCGAAACCCGGAGGTGCCTGGTTCAATTCCGCTCGAGAACAATATTTGCCCTATACAAGAATTCACCAGAGCAAGGAATTTACCACATAATACTTCAAACAGGGGGCTACACAGTCGGTAGAGCGTCAAATTATGAACCGATAGATAAAGAGTTCAAGCACCAGCCTACGTCACTCGTCCTTCTTCCTTCCAAGGTCAATAAATAGGTACCACTCTGACACTATACGCTACACTTGCCACGTGGCTGTAGGCTCTGCCTTCAAAATAAGGCACTCCTGACTGATGGCACAGCAATGGAGATCCCAATCATGAAAGTGAAGGAAAACCGACATTCCAACGGCGACGAACTTTCCTTCAATTTTCCTTTCCATTCAATGACTCCGTCAGTCAGGTTGGGCTCTGACAGAACACCAGCACCGACCAGAGCACGGCAATAGAATCGACATCTGAGAAGATATGCTTCTACTTGCAGAGGTTTAGAATTCTATAACTCTGACGTTTCGTTAATGTGAGTCCCACTATGTTCACCTGGGACATTGTAGCCCCGTCAACTAGCTCCTGCTCTTTACTTCTGAGTGACGATCTGTTCCAATTTCTGACTGTCAACTCATACTGGCGGTGTCGTTCCCGAGGAGCATTATCTAACG